ATGAGGAAGGTGGTTTCTGAACTGAAGGATCAACTGGAGAATGTTTGCGAAAAGAAAATGGCAGAGATCCATCATACAGGTTGATAAATAAAAACATTTTTCTGTCTGATCTTGTTAATATACACCATGCAGAGAGAGTATGTAGGACAGTCAGTCTCATGTTGGTGTGACAAAGTCAGTTTCTGTTTCCAATAAGACTAAATTTTTATGAAAACTAATGAGCTCTAAATTCTACAGGCTACAAAACCCAGATCACGATTCATGTTTCTTCTACATTACAGAATCCAAAAATCTGTATTATGTGTAACTTACCATGATTTGCAGTTTGTTAAAATGCCTGTTATTGTCCCTCATAATGATAATAATCTACTGCTGTTGTCTCCACAGTGAGTGAAGTTCATCTCCCACAAGTAAATTTCTTTTACTCACATCCCTGTTTCTCTCTGTCTCCTTCTAGTTACCAAAGACACCATCCTACCGGTATTAGTGCTCAGGACCAGAGCAGAATTCTTACAATGTGAGTCTGTTCACACACACGCTTCTCTGTATGAGGTGGAGTGTGTTTTATTGTGTTTCGTTTTCTTCTGCTAGTGGAGCTTCTCTTTCTCTCTCCCGCTGCCTCCTGGTCTTTCACATTTACATGAGCTGTTTATGTCAGTAGCCTTTGAATCCGATTGCAAAGCAAGGCAAGTTTATTCAGGGTGCTTTTCCACTGCACCAGGTACGGTACATTTGGTACTTTCCCTTTTCCATTGACTTCGGGTCGAGTACCAGTACCAAAAGTTCCAGTACCCAAAGTACTATTGTTTTTTTGGTACCTCGGAACTTTGGGGTGGGAATTGCAAACGCATTCATTGTTGATTTAAAAGACAATTTTAAAAAGCCTAAAAGCCCAAATAACAAATAAATTGTTAACTGAAAAGAAGTTACATTGTAGAGGCAGCGTATGACTAAACTCCTGCTGATTTAATTTATTGAAAAGCTGCAGCAAACAGTAACATTTTAAGCCCTGATTGTAATGAGCTGACAGTGGTAGCAGACCTCAGGTCTTCAGGAAGCTTGTTGAGAGAGTACAGGGAGCATAGAGACTAAAAGCTGTTTCACCCCGCTTGGTCTTCATTCTGGGAACACTGAGTAAACCTTTCCCAGATGCCCTCAGGGGTCTGGATGCTTCACAACGTTCAAGGAAATTAGTGCCATTTAGTGTCTTGTAGACAAGTAAAAATATTTTAAAATCAATCCTGTGACAAACAGAAAGCCAGTGCAGTGATTTAAGGACCTGTGTAATATGCTCTACTTCCTTGGTGTTAGTGAGGACTCTGGTGGCAGCATTCTGGATGAGCTGCAGCTGTCTGACTGATTTATTACTAAGACCTGTGAAGACACCATTACAATAGTCTAGCCTTCTGAAAATAAACACATGAACAAGCTTTTCTGTATCTGGTTTAGAGAGAAATCCTTTAATTAATTCTTGCTCTATTTTTAAGGTGGTGGGAGGCTAATTTTGTAATTGTCTTTATGTGACTTGATATTTAGGTCTGAGTCCAGAACTACATCAAGATTTCTAGCTTGACTAGTAGATTTCAGTGTCATGGTTTCATGGTTAGCAATAGCTTTCAGTCTTTCTGACTGAACCAATACAGGGATTTGGGTGCTGGGAACACAGGAGGATGGGCCAGACCCAGGGAAATGAACATGGACGTGTCAAAGGAAAGAAATTAACAAAACATAACACCTCTTCCCTACCCTGCTTAGTTAAGATTATAACTAAAACCAAAGATAGAACAGAAAAACCCAGACTACACTAGGCTTACTCACCCGAACATAAATACAGAAGGTGGCACTCGCCCTCTAACCCAGTGTGTTTATACAGAGAGAGGACCTACGTGTTAATGTATGTGCGCACACTTCTTACCTGTTCAGTTTCACAAAGGTGGGGGGATTGCAGAAGACAGGAGTCAGTATTTGAATATGATAAGGATGCAACAAACTGGTTTATTTCTTTGAGATACAGTATACTGGGATTTCACATAATGGGCTAGTTTCAGCTTCCACTGGGCAGATTTTAAGCAGACCTTGGGCTGGACCTGGGAACACTGTACTGATGCCTCATTTCCACCAACACAGAGCCAGTACTGGGCTGGTTTTCACTTGCTGCCTTTTAAGAACCTGCCTGCGTTTCCACCAGTTTCAAAAATGAATGTAGGTGAAAGTAAGAGCAAAGGTTCATATGTATTCCGTTATGCTGGAATTACAGAAGTTCCTCTACTTATGAATTTTCAACTTACGGACTTTCAGACATACAAACAAAGAGATTTGTAAGTCCACATTGTGTTCATTGGGCTCCCGTTTCCTGTCCGCAACATCAAATTTTTTTTTCTGTGCGCCTATTCCGCCTTGTGCGACTTTTGGCCCCTACTCCCGCCGCACTGCAGCATAGTGTGCGTACTTCCAGCATCCCAGTTACCACCTTCATCCCAAAGGAAATGGAGTCCAAAAACCTCTTCTTCTCAATCCTGGCTATATGCCTAACCAACTTCCTCCTAGTCAACAATTACATCGATACTGGTTTCCAGAAGGCAGGCGTCCCAGGGTTCCCTGGCTGCGTGGAACACGCTACGATGATTTGGGAACAAACCCAGAGAGCCAGGCACAGCAAGTCGGACCTGCATGTCGTCTGGTTAGACCTCGCAAACGCCTTCGGCTCAGTTCCCCACCAGCTCATCACGTTCGCCCTGGAGATTTTCCATTTACCATCAAGCATCCAGAAGCTGATAGCAAACTACTTCAATAGCCTATATGTTTGCTACACAACCCGGGACATCACAACTGCCTGGTACCAGCTGGAGAAGGAAATAGCAATGGGATGTTCCATCTCTTCCATCCTCTTTACATCTGCTTTCCAGATTATCCTGATAGGTGGGAGACAAATGGTTGGAGGGGCAAAGCCCCAAACAGGCCAAAGACTCCTGCCCATATGGAGTTACATGGATGATGTCACCACGCTCCTCCAAACAGCAGCATGCACAGCAAGACTCCTAAAAAGGCTGGAGGAATCGCTAGCATGGGTCCGCATGAAAATCAAGCCCACAAAGTCCTGCAGCCTCTCAATCCAGAAAGGGGTTAGGAATGACAACATCTGTTTCACCGTGGATGGCGAAAGGATTCCCCTGGTAGTGGAAGAAGCAGTGCGAAACCTCGGAAGGCTATATACAGCTGATCTTTCCGACAAGCATATGGCCTCAGCCGTTACAACTCAACTCATGGACGGCCTTCACAAGATCAATCAGTGCTCCCTGCCCGGAAAATTCAAGGTTTTGTGCAACCAGTTCCCCTTGAACAAACGCATAATGTGGCCACTGAAGCTGTGCGAGATCACCATGACAACAGTCCTGAAACTGGAAGCAAAGGCCAACAATTACATCAGGAAATGGCTCGGCCTTCCCCGCAGCCTCTCCAATGCAGCACTCTTTGGCAAAAATATACTACAGTCCCACTTCAGTCAATCAGCCTGGGCTACAAGAAGGAGAAGGTGAGACTGCTATTTGAGCTAAGAGACTCGCCGGACCTGCCTATCCGAAATGCAGAAAGTGGAATGTAGCACAAGCAGTGGATATAGCCACAGAGAGGCTGAAACACCAGGAGATTGTGGGCTTTAC